AAAAAATGGTTACTCCTTATTTACTAAGTCTTCTGGTGATTCTTTGGTTATATTGGTGGTCTATGTTGATGATATTCTCTTAGCTGGTGCTGATATTGCTGAAATGACAACATTGAAACTATTTTTGGATGACCAATTCAAGATCAAAGACTTGGGTCTGGTCCACTATTTTCTAGGTCTCGAAGTCTCTTCTCATCCTGATGGTTATGTCATGCATCAACATAAGTATACTTCTGATTTATTAGATGAATTCAAGTGTTCTCATTTATCTTCTGCTGCCACTCCTCTAGATCCCTCAATCAAATTGTCTATTGATCAGGGTGATCTCCTCCCAAATCCTAGCCTTTACAGAATATTAGTTGGGAAGTTAAATTTTTCGCAACACAGCAGGCCTGACATTGCCTATTCTGTCCAGCATTTAAGTCAGTTCTTATAGTCTCCCAGGGTCCCTCATATGATGGCTAGATTACATGTTTTGAGATACTTAATATCTGCCACAAGTCAAGGAATTTTGTTGAGTAATTCACCTGATCTATCTCTTATTACCTTTTCTGATTCTGACTGGGCTACATGTGCTTTTTCTAAAAGGCCAGTTACAGGTTATTTCATTACTCTTGGTGGCTGCCCTATATCTTGGAAAAGCAAGAAGCAGCCTACTATCTCTCTTTCTTCTGCAGAAGCTGAGTATAAGGCCTTGAGGAAGGTGGTGGCTGAGATATCTGGGCTGGTTCGACTCCTCAATGACCTTGGCCTTACTATTACAACCCCTGTCCCTGTATTTTGTGACAGCCAAACTGCCTTAGTCAAGAACCCGATTTTTTATGAGCGCACAAAGCATATAAAGGTGGACTGTCACTATGGTCACCACTGCTTATCTTTTGGGATGGTGTCTCTCCAATTTGTGCGCAGTTCTGATCAACTGGCAGACATCATGACCAAGGCCTTATATGGCCCCCTTCACCACACGATTTTGGGCAAGCTTGGGGTGTTTCCACCCTCCAGCTTGGGGGGGGGGGGGGTTAACCATAGCCCAACTCTGCAATATAGTCCAGGCCCAAGCATTGTATTAACCGGGTATCCCACTTCATGACCCAACACAAAGTTTCATAACTTTACATTTTAGCCCATGTATTACTTAATTAGTTGATTTGTATATAAATGAAAGGAACTCTCTAGAATAAGTGAAATTCATTTTTGACAATATAACTTTTGAGAATAAGAAAAGAGTCTGATTTCTTCTCTCCTAAATTCTAGGGTTTTCGCTGTCAATTTCTTATTGCATAGCTCAATTTCTTAAACTAATACTGTCCAAGATTTTTTTTGGCCAAAAATATTTTCTCCAAAGTTAAGGTATGTGATCAAGCATTTAGAAGGAAAAGTGATTGTAGAAGCAAGCAAAAAAAAAAGATTCTTCCCAAAAATACTTTCTTGAAAAACACTTCTGAGAAACATAAATCACTTTTTAAAAGCTTGGCCAAACATTAATTGTTGTTCAAAGTATTTTTCAAATTAATTAGTCAAACATAAATTATTTTTTCACCAAAAGTATTTTTTTAAAGCATTTAAAAAAACACTTTCAAAAGAAGCTGATTTTAACTTGAATACCACAACTATTCTTTAAAAAAATATAGTCCAATTAGATAAGAGCATATGCGTTACGCAACAAACACTTTGATTTGTGGTGTGAGGGGTTTGGTAGGGCCAGCGTCCAAATAGGTGGAATTTGTTGGCCCATGTTACTGCTTACAACTTCAATTTTGATTTTATTGACAGTTGGTCAAATCCCACCTTTCCATCTACTTTTCTTTGGACAATATCACCCTCACATTGTTGGATTTTACATTTTTGGAGATTTTGAGGGAAATGGAGAATCACCCTCAAAGATTTGGGTTAGGACATTCCAAATACATTAATTTTAATGGTACATTATACATTAGGGAGAAAGAAAACAAAAATGTATTATCAATCTTGTTTTTTTACAAACCACACAAACACAACCAAAAAATAAAAAATAAACTTGATAACCTTAATCACTAAAATTTACACTAAAGTCAAATTCATAAATAACCTTCTAGCCACTTTCTTGTCACTCCCAAAAACCACAATTGGAGCTTCTGCTGTAATAACTGCCCTCCCAAAAATTGCAAGGTGTGATTTTGCACCCCATAAGGATTGTCCTGTTTTGACTGAATATATGTATTTCAAAGAGTTTTTTGAAGGGAAACTTACACAAATGTCTCAAATAAATCTCAACTTACCAACCTCTAGCCATTAGTCATATACTTATTAAAACTAGCCAACAAAAATTGAAAAATCAAATAATAGGTTTTTTTCTATCAAAGAATCACATGCAAAAATCACCTTCCATATTTTTAAGCGTGATTGACAACATTAGATACAAGACGGAAAGGAAATTTCATGGACGGGGTAGCAAATAAGGTGATGAAATACAAAAATCTATACAATATTCCAAAAAATCTAAACAAAAAAGGAACTTTTTCAATGGATATAGTTGAAATTCATTGAAAATATATAGATAAGTCAATATACAAATTTGAGGAAGATTGGAGGTTATTTGGACTGATTTTGTATCAAAATTCGTAATTAAATCGAGTTAAAAAAAGTCTTCTGCGACACATATATCAAACATGTATCACGCATGTATCTCACACAGAGGTATACATGGATATACATGTGATACACAATTGATATAAATATGATACATATGTGATACACAGTGTGATACACATATTATTTTTTTTCTTGTTTAGTTTTTATTTCGAATTTTCAATTCAAACCACCTCAAAATTTCACCAAATCATCCCAAAACTGAGATTCAAGCTCCTTAAGTTTTGCTCAATCTATTCTAATAATACCCACTCAAAACAAAGCAAAAATTTGATTTTTTTTTGCTACAAATAGCTAATTGGCTAATTTGGCTAATATCCGAAATATTTTATCAATTGGCCAATTTTTGTAATGAGCTACTTATAAATGGACATAGCTGGTAAATTCCCTTTTTTGAACTTCTTAGCAATTTTAGTATTCTTGATAAAGGACTTGGAAAATCAGGACCGTAAGTTAAGTTATTCGAACTCAATAACTCTGGCTCATACCTCATAAATGTGCTTAAAATGCAATAAGTACAGATAATTAACGCAAATCAAATGAATTATGGTAGAATCCCAAATTCAGACATATTAAATTTAAATCCTATATCCAAAAATATCAAACTGCACAAGAATAAGATTGGCTTTCCTCTATAAGTATTACTAGTGTTAGAATTCCACCAAAAGAAAACAAATACAAGAGCTACAAAAATGTGGTAAAAATTGCACGATAGGGCGCCCCATTTACCTATACCTATTTTTTTTTTAAAGTTTTAACTTGTACCCAATTTTTAAACAACTTTAGCTCCTTTCTCCTTCTCCTTTGTTTTTTTTTTCTTCTTCTATTAACAACTGAAAGGCACTATGATTAATTCTCTAATACTACCACCATTCCATATGTTTGACCAATTAGGCTCAAACTTCCCAGCCTTACTTCAAATTTATCGTCGAGAAGGATACTGCTAGCTTGAACATCTCTTCAACCAGAAAATACATAATATAATTAGTTTGGTGTAGAACTTTACAATAACTTGAACTTAATAATGGTTCTGTTACAGACAAAAATTGTGTATATCATCATTTGAGGAGAAAATCAAGAATGCGAAAAAGTGAAAGAAACAAATACCTATGAACAAGGGAGGATTACACTCATGGTGTAAATAGGCTAAATTTTCAGCTCTAGAGCTGAAATTCGCCAGTTACAAACAAAAACTTCAGCTGAAGTTCGACAGTTACAAACAAAAACTTCAACTCTAGAGCTGAAGTTCGACAGTTACAAACAAAAACTTCAACTCTAGAGCTGAAGTTCGACAGTTACAAAACAAAAACTTCAGCTCTAGAGCTCAAGTTCGCCAGTTACAAAATAAAAACTTCAGCTCTAAAGCTGAAGTTCGCCAATTACGAAACAAATACTTCAGCTCTAGAGCTGAAGTTCGCCGGTTACAAAAATAAAAACTTCAGCAATTACAAACAAAAACTTCAGCAAATAGAGAACAAAACTTCAGCTACTATGCTTAAGTTCAGCAATTACAAATAAAAACTGCAGCACACTTGGTCCCGTCTACTAGAATGCTGAAATTTTGCGTAATTGTTTTTGCTACTTCAGCCCCATATGCTGAAGTTACGCGAAAAAGTGGGTACGCTTGCAATTTTTTTTGCAAAGCGGGCACAAGTTAAAACGTGACCCAAAAAGCGAGTGTAGATGCAAATGCCCCAAAAATGTGGCAAAGAGAATCTCAAATTCTCAATGCATACTCTGACTATAGTAAGTATTTACAGGTTTGGATGTACAAGCATATCTATTGTACCGCTGCAGGATCAGCCCTTGCCAAAAGTTTTCAGTATCTCATCGTTTTCATTTGCTTCATCCCCCCCACCGTTAAAATGATCATAGATTTGACAGCCTAAGAGTTGTAGGGGGGTTGT